GCTCTACCCTGATCTCTTTAACCGTCACACTGACTAGTGATGTTCTAGTGCAAAGGCACATGAGAAAAGACGATGTGTGACTCTGAAGTCAACAGTATTCCCAGCCCCCAGCATTCAGAAATCATGAATCAGGCCCTCAAAAAAATCACAAGATTATAAAAAAAAATTATGATTTTAAGGCAGTACATTTTAAGCTTTCTTTGCCCTCTGGATTTTAGAGACTAAGTTGTGCTCAGGTCATGTTTTCCAGCTTTTCTCTGCAACCAGGAGGGCTAATGAAAGCTGAGATTCTCACAAATCCAGAAGCTGGAGCCTTAAGAAAACAACAACAAATAAAGTGAGACATGCTATAAAATCACAGGAGTTATCAGAACTGCAACACTCAAACTTTCAAAGTTATACAGTCTGTTAGTGCTACAGCAAACTGCAAATATTCATCATCATCTACATTGCTGCTCTGCAAGACTCTTAGGACTTGGATCTTTTCTTATAGAACTTTGACTGTCTGATATTAATTTTTGCATTTGAGAGTGGGTTCATGTGAATAAATAAAATATTAAGTACTTGGTAGGCAATCCACCCTGTAGTATCTGCTCTGTATCATCTCCTCTGGAGTCCAACTCCTGACATTCAGTCTTCTGATATAACCGTATACTTTATTCTTGCTATTTCACTACACATATATTGTATATAAAAACATGCCCATATCCATATTATACATTCTAAGCATGGACATCACTGAACGTACACAGTAAAATGGCAGTTGAGCCAAAATGTTTTGCAGTACATTTATGCTACCACATATGGCCAGAATAATTTAAGCCTCTTTCTTTTATACGTTATCCCTTTACCTAAATTTCTCCAAGTACATACCTGTACTTTGAAAGAATAAGAGCAGGTACCACTAATAATGTAAAAAATGATCTGTCACGTTGGAACCCATAACATGGAAATCAGTGTCAGGTAAAAAGTCCAGTGAAATAGTTTCTAATCAAAAGACTTGTCTGAACCCTGATTACATAGTCTGAAACTCTTTGGCATGGACATGCAGCCACCAGTATCAAATGTAGGGTTGACAGAAAACAAGCTTGCCAAGGAAAAATAGAAATGACATGATACCTCAGGCACAGACACTAGAATACAATGAACAATTCAGGCTTTACAATTAATAACACGACTTACAAAGATCAGTTAAAGGAGCCGGACTGTTACAACAAGCCATAACAGGCTGTAATTAGTAGGTTATTGGTGACAGATCCAAAGTCCACTGAATGGGAATCCACTGACTTCAATGGTCTTCAGATCACACCTGAGGCAGTTAGAGGTACTCAAGTCAGAAGGAGCCTAGGGTGTGCATCATTGGCCTTCTAAATGTTCATCCATTTATGGCTGACAACTCTTGCTATCCAGCACAGCCATGTTGCATTTCTCCACCATACAGAATGTGAGAGTGCGAGAGAGAAAACTTTAAGTTCATGGGCCATATCCTCAGATGGAATAATCTGATTTAGCTCCATTACACCAATTTACACAAGCTGAGGATCTGGCCCCATGACTCTATGTTATGTATATTTATCTCCATAAAAGTATTTTGGGATATAGCAAGAAACACACTGAGAAAATAAAGCTCTAGCATACCGTAACTCCTCACTTAACGTTGTCTCGTTGCTAATCTATTAGGGAACAAGCTTGTTTAAAGTTGCACAATGATCCCTTATAATGTCATTTGGCAGCTGCCTGCTTTGTCCTCGGCTTGCAAAATTCTCTGGAAGAGCAGCCCCTCCTTGTGGAGATTAGAACTATGGGGGGCCGGCAGCCCCTCCCCCCATCAGCTCCCCTAAATCTCCTGTAAGGTATGTGGCTCGGCAGCTGCCCAGCAGCAGTTCAGCTGTCCCTCCCCTCACTGCCATGCCGCTCCTGCCCTGTCCTCTGCCTTGGAGCTGCTCCTGGGAGCTTCCTGCTTGCTGGGAGGGGGAGGGGAGAAGGGTGCTGATATCAGGATGTCCCCCTGCCTTCCCCCCCCCCCCACTCCGTACCCCTTTTCCACAAAGCGGAGGATGGGGACAGGGCTCGGGGACAGAAAAGAGGGAGTTTGCTGGAAGCTGTTGCTTCCTGTCTGATCTGCTTAAAAGGGCAACATACGTGGGGTCAGTGTACTTAAAGGGGCAATGCACATCTCTCTCTCTCTCTCTCACTCATGCATGCACACCTTCAGCCCCCCAGGACTTTGGAAAGTCAGCACCTGTGCATGTGCTGTCAGGAGGAGGGAGGGGTGCACTCCAGCTGGATAGCGTGGTTCTCATGATCACATTCAGTTTTTGCAGGGAAGTGTTTGCAGCTACTGCCCTGCATCTATTGTGTTTCCTCCCTCCTGCGTCAGTCCATGCTGCCTTGTAGAGTGTGAGGCTACATTGACAACAGCATACTAACCCTTGAGGGCTCAGCCGAGTGCTAGTTCATCATTTAGCAGCAAGGCATTCTCTAGGAAATATTTCACCCTCTTACTCCACCACCTCAACCAAGCTTCACAATCATTCATAGCTGTGTACAATATTAAATTGTTTGTTTAAAACTGTTTAAAAGTTATACTGTATATGTATATAATATCTTTTGTCTCATGAAAAAAAATTCCCTGGAACCCTACCCCCCCCCCCCCCATTACATTAATTCTTATGGGGAAATTGGATTCGCTTAACAGCGTTTCACATAAAGTCGCATTTTTCAGGAACATAACTACAACGTTAAGTGTGGTGTTACTGTACTGCATTCTACACAGTTTTATCCCAAATGAGCAATGAGAAGTTGTGAAACTACTATAAAATCATGTGTGATATTCCAAAATATTAAGAGGCAACTCTCTCATTACTTTATTAAAGCATGTTTTTTCTAGACTAATCAACATATATTGAGGGACTATTCAAAGGCAGATTATTCAATCATGGTCATGGTTCATCATGAAACTATGATTCATTAAATGATTCACACCTCCTCCAGCCTCAGGGTTCAAGGATGGGGTTCTTATGATCCCCTTTTAAGTTACTTTGGCATGAAGGACCCATGTCATAACAACCACGTTTCCTGCCAGGAAGGACCAGAGGGGACTCCCCCATCATTTCTGCTCCTTAATCTTCTGTGCTCCCAGCCTCAGGTTCAAAAGACCATGTCTATTTTATTTTTTAATCCAGAGGAGTTACTATTTGTCTTGACAGTGCAGCTACAGTGCCTGCATGCTAAATCTGCACCCTGATAATCCTCAGGAATTTTTTGTTAGAAGTGTGTCCACAGCAGCTGTTTTTCTAAACGAAATAACTCCAAATGTGCAAAGCATTCAGATCACAAGGCCCATGTATTTGTAGCTTATAAGAAATCCTGTTCTTACACTCCTATAACTTAAGAAAAAGGATCTGATTGCATTAAGTTCAATTTGTTTGTAGTCTTACATCTTGTTAGAGCCAGGGCTTATTGGAGCTATAGCAGGGTTTATTCACAGCTTGGAGGGGGGAAGGAGGGCGGAGGCGGTCTACTAGTGCCTGCAGCTGGGGATTAGCTCTCTCATAGTTGCAGTGCTTCCTCTTAATGGCGTGGCCCTCTGGCCAGGTCATTATACCGTTTTCCCCTTCAAGGGTAACAAAGTCTCACCTGATCAGCTGTCTGGGTGCCATTCAGGCATTCTTCCCATTCAAGACTGACACTTTCCCAGAGGAATTTAGGCCTGGCTACTATTCCAGGCTCCATTGTGGAACCCAGTGGAGGGACCCTAGGCCCAGCAACTGTGGTTTGCTCAAGCTCCGACCCTGTTGCTGCTTCCCTGGGCTCATTCCTACCTCTCTTCTCCATCTTCTGGCTCACCTCTGGGTTTATCACTGGAGCTTCCCCTGCTCCCCATGGCTACTTCCCTTTCCCAGTTTCTGGCCAGGATGTGTAGTCCAAAGCAGGCTCCCAGGGCTTACTCTCTGCCTAGCCAATGCCCCTCCTCTCTAGAGAGGGGCTGCCGAGCTCCTCCCTATGGCTCTTTTCCTACCACCAACTTTCTCTCTTTATAAGCCTATTCCAGCTCCTCCCCCAGCTAGGCTTCATCAGTCATTAGGCCTTATCAGTCCTTGGCTCTCCTGCAGATGCAGCCTGTAAGGTTAATTGGCCTATTTCACCTGTTCAGGTTTTGTATGGGGTAGACACCCCATCACAGGAAGGATGTGAGGAGGAAAGAGGAAAGGAGAGCATCTTGGAGGATCAGGGAGAGGTTGCTAGGATATACTAGCAGGTTGTTTGGAGGGATACTCAGTTCATATTAGAAGGCTGAGAGAAGAGCCAGAAAACATTCAGATGTTTTAGATAAGCATTTGAACTTTGCCTTATCAGGTTGGCCATTCATCAGAAGCTAGCAGGCAATACAATAATACTATATCTTTTCCACTGGCAGAACCCAACCTAGAGGCCATCCAAAACCAAAATGTCACACAACCTCCAGTAACCTCTTCTCTACTGGGGAGGCTGGCGCCAGCCAGCGTAGCTCAGAAAGTGAGTTGGCCACCTTACCTGGAAGATAAACTGATTCAGCGCCACTCTTGGGGAGGATCCAGGAAGAATTCCTGTGGTGTCCCATCCCATAACTTAGCCATTCACTTGTTGTAGATTTCCCACAAAAAGGATGGTGATGGAAGTGCAACACTCTGCCATCCAGTGGGAGTCAATCTACTGCACCAATGGTACCAATTCAACTGTGCAACATGTCACTGACCACGAGACAGAAAGTTACATAAAATACAGCTTATATAGGTTTACAAGTTTTCTTGGCTCCCGCAATCTCATCAGTATCCCCAGTGGTGCACATAACAATACTAATTTGACTGAAAGACATGTTACTTTTAGCTATGAAATAAACAGACCCCTAGGAAGGAGACATTTCATCTTTGAAAACAGCTTGTCTGACTAACAAGCACAATTTGCCAACATGAAATAAAGCATTTGTGACTCAGGTAAGGCGTCTCAATTTCCCTTACCTTAGCAATGGTCTCATGGAGGTTGAACAAGGGATCCAGCTCTTCAGTTACTGTGTTATGTGCAGGAAAGAGAGCTTCAAAGAGAAAGCTTGGACTCTGTGGAAAAGGGAAGAGAAACCTCTTAGGACTCCAAACAATTTCCGTCATCAGACGCTTATTGGATTTCGTTTCAAGATTCAAAGGACTGCACATTGTTTTAAAGTTTGTGCTGATTATTAGAGTTCATCTTACTGATCTAAATGACTCATTACAAGCTGCTGAAACAGACACTAAGAGCCTAGTTTTATAACTGTTTCTGGAAGGATGGTTGTCTTCATAATTATATTTCCCAATACAGTTGAGTCTTCTACCTAGAAGTAGAAGATCCACACTGATTTCATTGTAAGCTAGCTAGCAATTTGATATCTGAGGTGATCAATTATGTTTAGTGTTCAGAATATATACACATATGATAATAAGGGATAGATAGATAAGTAAATCCATACACACACAGAGGTCATTAATTTTTATGTGATGTGCACTTTTTTGTACAATAAGCAAGGAGGAGGTCAGATTGCCCCTGTAAAAGGCTCACACGAGCCTAGCGCCTTATGGAGTGGATTTGCCTCAGACTTACAAAAAACAAATTAATGCTGAACTCAAGATAGCCACCTACATGTTAAACTCCTTAACATACACAATATTCATTCACAGAGGTCCACAGCAAATACTAAACAAAGTTGGGGTCCTGACTGGCCAGGTTACTTGGCTTAGGGCAGAGAGATCAATCCTTCCTTTCCTCCCTCCCTCTCCTGGCTTTACCCAAATGTGTCCCCTAGCAAAAACAGCCATCTCTTTTTATCTGGCCTGCTGGGCCTTGATTGGCCTCCACCTGCTCCTGCCTCATCTAGGTGCCAGAGGTCCAACTCTTGCTGGTTCTGCCGGCAGCTCATGATGGCAGGCCCCTCTAAGCCACCCCTGGAGAGGTAAACTTGCTCTTCTTCCCTTGCAGCAGGATACCTTCTTAGGGTGGGATGCACTAAGGTAGGGTGCACAAAGGCAGTGGAGCCTCTGGCAAGGGATAACAAATGGGGGGTACACCCCATCACAGCCCCTTCGTTGTCACAAGCAAGAATTGATATTTCTGTGGCCACTCAGTCCATACTGTAATGTACTCCACATGGAATCTGAACATCATACAAAACTTACTCTCTCAGGAGAAGTTTGATTTTAATTTTTTTTTTTACTAAAAACTGATCAGGATCTGGTTGGACTTAGAATTTTCTGAAGCCAAGCCTGATTCTAAACTGGCTGGGGACCTGGATTAAGAGAGTTCAAGGCATAAATATTAACACTCAGAAAAAAAAACTTTCTAAAAACAAGCATGTGAAATAAGTGCACGAAATAGTTAGGAAAAGAAATCTGCACCACTGTTTTATGTTTACAGTGAGCATAGTGTGTGCAGGGAGAGAAAGGAACAGAGCTGTTAATCTTATTATTTGTACCGTCTCATTGGACTCTGTATAATTTGAAGGGTTTCTTATGAATTCTCTGCAGAATGACTGTTATCCTATAATCCTTTATCTGACAACCCTCCCAGAATTTCTAGAATCCAGTTTCCAATTAAGGCAGGGCAATCTCAGAGCAGATGTCTGTCTTCTTTCAGAGGCCACCCATCTTTCTCTGTGAAGGACACACAGTGCTCAGACATTAACAGCCACTCACCAAGCGGGGCTAAGTAGAGAATGTATTATTAGTGAGATTAAATATAAATTTAAGGTGCAAATAATGGCATCTTGGGGCAAGAACTGTGTCTTCATAGGGTTGTGCACAGCACTTAGTAAAATGTGGCCCCGATCCTCATTGGGTCCTCAGAGTGCTATTACAATACAAATAATACTACCATCGAGTAAGCTGAATTTGCACTCTAGGATCAGAAATGCCTAAATCACTCTGCAGTACAGTGTTTACATCGCTATAAAATTAACAGTGGTGCATGTCTAAATTATTTTGGGATTAAGTTGCAAGGAGGATCGAGTGCAGACTATGATATGGCTGAAGAAATCCTGAATTTGAGTTGATTGTCTTATCTATTCTGGCTTTTCTTTCCCAGCTGATTACTCTAAGACAGACCTGTGGGCAATACTGACAGATATTACAGAACGTTCTTAGAGGCATTTCCTTTCTACCAAATGATGAACTGATGGATACCTATGCCTGTCAGACTAAGATCTTTGAAGTTTCTCCATCCAGACGTTTATTGACGTCCAATAATCTCTGCCCATATCTGCCAGAAAAGACTTCTACCTAGTATGCACATATATTGAAGTTGCGCCTTTCGGAACTGTAAATCTGGCAACCACGTTTAATCATGTTGCCAGAACATTATTTCCAGTTAGAGATTGCATGCTGTGAAGTGGTGAAATAAAGCTTTGGTTAAAAAAAATGTTAACACTGCTCTGAACTTCAACTGTTTTGTGCACTTTAACTGGACTGATGTGTAACGCCTGCACCCTCCAACCTTTTCCACTTGCTTCTGATACCTAGGAACATTCTCAGGAAGTGAGCTGAAGGGAGAGAAACTAGAGGCTTTGTTTTAGCTCATGAACAATTTATACCCATGGCGGAGCCTGCCTCTTTCATACAATGGGTTTTAGGTTTTATGAAGGGCAAGCAGAAACGCTATTTTGGCAAAAGCTTTGGTTGGTCTTAATTCCAATGAAGTCTCATCCTTTCAAGTTAAAAAGCAAACAGCCCATAAAAGATATGTGAATTATGCAGCCACTGGTGGGTACAGTGGTATCTTTGTAATATACATATTGAGACATGGAAAGTCAATGGGAGCAGGGGGGCGGGCAGGTAAAATTTGTCCCATCATTTGTAATTCTATAACTCTTTGAAGTTTGGAGGAAAAACAGATATATCGATATATAGACATACAAAATGTATCAGTCAATGTTCCCCTTTCATCCTGGGGTGACTGTTTCTGATGGCTTCCCACTAGTCCCAAAACTTCCTTAAAAATAATATGATGGAATTAGCACACAGATGCATGACTGAACACAAAGATTTGGACATTGTATAATTTGTCATAGAAGTATCGGAATAATAAATGATGTAATACGTTGCTTGACGTTATTCTTCCCCTCAGAGAAATATCACTTTTTTTGTAAGACCTCAGACAAGAATACGCATGAAGTCATTTATTATAAAGATACAATACAGACATCAGGACTGATTCATAACACCTATTCATCTTTATTTTAAATGTTTATACAGGAATTGGCTCACAGAGCAAGACCACTTCAGTTATGGTGGGTAGTCTAACGCAGCAGCACTAATGCACTTAATTATTATCCACACAACTGCAATCAATCAATAAATAACTTAGAAACAATTACATTATTTTTCCTTATTCTTATGTACCTTATTAAAATTAACCGAAGGAAACAATTACAACATTAGATTTGCCATACAAGATATGACAATTGGTCCACCTAGTCCTGTACTCTACCTCTAGACTTGAGACTTGATGCATCATATGTAGCAGACACACACATATATCCCTCTGTAGTGAAGTTGTATTTGTATATGCTGTTTGGGATGTCTGTCTCTTTTAGACGCTGACCTCCGTATGAACTTCCTATGTATTCCCCTTTCCTGTATACAGGTACTTCCTTCCAGACCACCATAAGCTAGGCAGTGGGACTTATACATTCATAAACATTTTCCAGTTGTTACCTGTACTTGAATTGGCTGAATGTCTGTTCCCAGGAAGACACAATGCCCATTATCCCAATGAATCTATCGATTAGGCCTAAGATATATGTAGGAGGAAAATTCCTTCCAACTTCTGCAGGCAAACAGCTAACTCCATGAATCACAAGGTTTATTTCTTAATCTCATTCTTGCCTTACATTTCTGCAAACATCAATTTGTGAATTGCTCAGTTCAGCATTTATACTCCAGAAAATCCACATTTTACTCTGAGCCGCTGCAAAAGTGTGGAGAATGCTCTGAAAGAGAAGATACCTTCTTTGTGTATATAACAAAGCAGCCTCTGAAAGAATCTGCAAATATCTATTACCAAATAGACCAAGATTGTCAAAAATAGAATCCTAGATTCTGGCTCCTAAGACACCTACGTAAGTGGCTTGATTTCCTGAAGTGCGGAGCACTCAATAGCACTCACTGAAATTAATTGGAGCTTCTTTGTAGTCAGCAGTTTTGAAAATCAGGCCACTTGTCTAGGTGCCGTCAGATAGCCAATTTTAGGCTCCTATTTTTAAAAAAATCTTGTCCAAAACTTTTATGCTAAAATCTATTTTGAGCAGAAATGTCCTTTTAACCCACAACAGTTTATTTGTATGTATATATATAAAAAGAATCAATTTATGTCATAAATAAAAGAGCTGTGTGCAGCATCCCAGTACTACATTCTAAACTATTTTAATTACTGTAGTGTTGACTTGTTAAACCCTCCCACTGGTTATTCTGCATTGTTAGAACTTTAAGCAAAAGGTGTTGCACAATACACACCAGAAGTACTCTGAAGGTGCACAAAATGGCACCTGGCATATGGTGATCATCATCATTAGCCAACAAGGAAAGAGAATCAGTGCATATTCCTGTTTGATGCCACGAGAACTTTGATCACCAGCCATCAATCAAAGCTCTTCTTCTTTCAAATGGAATTACACAAATATAATTTTCTGTCATATTACAGCTGCTGCAGAACACCATATGACTTTATGATTGATGTAAGGGCTTCAAAAAAAATCGTTGACATATGTCACAGCACTGGAAGCAGAACAGCTAGCTTTTGCAATATTTCTAAGGTGAAAAGTTAAAATAAGTGATGTGAGGGCAGAGATGGCAACACAGTACATTAATTATGACTCAGATTATTACCCTGGCCTTGCTCCTCTCCAACAACCTACAGGGCAGAATGTATTAGACTCCAACATTTGAAAAATATAAATGAATGGCAAATCCTTGTGGGTAGCCATGTCTTTAGGATCACACAGGTATGCGTCTTTACTCTGATCTGCTTGGTGAGGCTTTAAAAAGAAATCTTACACAATCACTGTGTTTTTACTGGGTTGGAGCACTTTAGC